TGGACATTTTCTAAAAAGATATGCTGTACTGAAACTGATTCAAGAAGAATTAGAAAATCTGAATAGCCCTATATCAAATAAAGAAATTGAATCAGTAATCAAAATAATCTCACAAAGAAAAGCCCAGGCCCAGACACTTTCACTGGTTTAATCTACCAAACTTGAAAAAAAATTAATAACAAATCTTTATTTCGCCCAAAAATAGAATAGAGAACACTTCTCAACACATTCTATTATGTAAGCATTACCCTGATAACAAACCAGATAAAAATATCACAAAATAAGAAAACTACAGAACTAAACCCCTTATGGATATAGACACAAAATTCCTCTTCAAAATAGTAGCAAAATAATCCAGCATCATATATAAAGGATACCATGACCATGTGGAATTTACCTCAAGAATGCAAGGCTGGTTTGACTTCTGAAAATCAATTAATATAAAATGCTTATTAATACAATAAAGGAAAAAACCCCACATGATTATCTCACTAGACACAGAAAAGGTATTTGACAAAATGGGAACTTCCTCAACCTGATAAAGATATACCCAAATATAACTATAACTTACATTATACTTCATGGTGAAAGATTTGATGCTTTTCCCTTAAGATCAGGAAAAAGACAAGAATGTTTGATCCCCATACTTTTATTCAATATTGTAATGGAGGCTCTAGCCAGGGCATTAGGCAAGGAAAAGAATAAAAGGCATCCAGATTGGAAGGAAGAAGTAAATATATCTCTATTCATAGATGCCATCATCCTGTATATAATATTCCTTCGGTATCCACACACGAAAAAGCTTTTAGAAGTAATAAATATTCAGAAAGTTTGCAGAATATAATAGCAAAGTACAAAAGGAAGTTTTATTTTTATACACTAGCAATGAAATATCTGAAAATAAAAGTTAAGAAAATGATTCCAGAGCCTGCCCCTGTTGCTGAGTGGTTAAGTTCATGCACTCCACCTCATCAGTCCAGGGGTCACCGGTTCAGTTCCTGGGCACAGACCTACAAAACGCTCATCAAGCCATGCTGTGGTGGCATCCCACATGGAAGAACTAGAAGGACTTGCAACTAGGATATAGAACTATGTACTGGGGCTTTGGGGGTGGGGGGGAAGAGGAAGATTGGCAACAGATGTTAGCTCAGGGCCAATATTCCTCACCAAAAAGCATACCTTAAAAAAAAAAAGAAAGAAAATGATTCCATTTACAATGGCATCAAAAAGAATAAAATATTTGAGGATAAATGTAACCAAAGAAGTGCAAGAACTATACATTGAAAACTAAAAAACATTATTTAAAGAAGTTAAAGATGACCCAAATAAATGTAGAAGTGTCCTACATTCACGGATTGGAAGACTTCATACTGTTACCTTAGCAGTGCTTTCCAAATCGATCTGCACAGTCACAGCAATCTTAGCAAAATTTTGTCTGATATTTTTTTCAGAACTTGACAAGGTGATCCCAAAATTCTTATGGACATCCAAAGTACCCAGAATAGCCAAAACAATCTTGGAAAAGGAGAAAGTTGGAGGCCTCACAGTTATCTATTTCCAAATTTATTATAAAACTACAGTAATCAAGACAGTGTGGTACTTCATAAGGACAGACATATAGATCAATAAAATATAATTGAGAGTCTGGAACTAAACCCTCACATTTATGGTCAGTGGATATTCAACAAATGTGCCGAGATAATTCAATGGGGAAATAGTTTTTTCAAGAAATGGTGCTAAGACAACTGGATATCTGCATGCAAAAGAATTAATTTGGGCCCCCTACCTCACATCATATAAAAACTCAAAATGGATTATAGTTCTAAATGTAAGCGCTAAGCCTATAAAACTCCTGGAAGAAAACATGAGTAAATATTTATGACCATAGGTTAGGCAGTGTTTTCTTAGATGTGACACTAAAAGCATAGATGATAAAAAATAAAATAGATGAGTTGAACTTACTCAAAATGAAAAACTTTTGTGCTTCAAAGGACACCATCCAGGAAGTTAAAAGACAACCCACAGAATGGGAGCAAATAATTGCAAATCATATATCTGATAAGGGACTCATATCCAGAATATATAAATGTCTCTTACATGTCCACAATAAGAAGACAAATAACCTAATTTTAAAACCAGCAAATGTTTTGAATAGACGTTTCTCTAAAGAAGATAGACAAATGGTCACTATGTCCATAAAAAGATGTTCAATATCATTACCTATTAAGGAAATGCAAATCACATCACAGTGGGATACTACTTCACATTCACTAGGATAGATAAGATTAAAAAAACAGATAATAACAAGTCCTGGTGAGAATGTGAAGAAATTGGAGCCTCATACATTGTTAGTGGGAATGTAAAATGGTGCAGCCACTTTGAAAAACATTTGGCAGTTCCTCAAAATGCTAAACATAGTTACCATATGACCTAGCAATTCTATTCCTGGGTACATTCTCCAAAGAACTAAAACATGTGTCCAAACAACAACATTTACACAAACATTCATAGCAGCATTATTCATAACAGCCCAAAATAAAAACAACCCAAATGTTCAATGATGAATGGATAAATAATTGTGGTGTACCATATAATGGAATATTATTAGGCAGTAAAAAGGAATGGAGCACTGATACATGCTGTAACATGGATAACCCTTCAAAATATTGTTAGGTGAAAAAAGCTAGTCACAAAAGACCACGTATTGTATGATTGCATTTATATGAAATGTCCACAATAGCCAATTCATAGAAACAGAAAGTAGATTAGTGGTTGCCAGTAACTGAGTAAGGGGACGATGGTGGTGGAGGAGAATATGTAGAGTTTGCTAATGTAAAGGGTTTCTTTGGGTGATGATAAGGATATTCTAAAAGTAGGTAGTGTGATTGTTGCACAACTCTGTGAATATACTAAGTACAACTGAATTGTGTACTTTCAAGGGTTGAATTTTGTGGCATGTGAATTATATCTCAATAAAACCAATATATAAAAAAGTGTAATTGTTTCCATTTAAAGACAAAACACTGTTTCTCTGGTGGAAGAGGTCCATAGTAATCAACCTTCCCAAAGTGGATGGCTGGTACTCCCTGGAAATGGCGCTTTATGAGGGACTCAGCATTGGCCTCTGGTGTTGGCAGGTTCTGCTACTCAGCTGTGACAGTAGTCAGATAAGGCTGGTAATGGGAGACAATATTGTTGAGCTCTTGCATAGCTCTATTCCTGCTTCTGTAGCCACTTTGTACATGGGCTCATTGAGCAAACAGTGGGATTGCTGGAAGGAAAGGTTGAATGGTATTTTCAGAGATGGTCATTTTTTTCTCTCAATTATTGAGAATTTCCTCTGCATTGGATGTCCCTAGTGGGTACGCTCACTACCTGAATAGATATAGTCTATTTAGAAAGGAATGTGGTCTAGTAGCTTTTAGAACTCAAGATCCTCCCAACGATTAGAAACAGGCAGAAACTTGGTCAGGGTGTCCACTGAGGGAGCCCTGTGCCCCTGTTTCTTTGTGACCATCCAGATACCTTCCGTGAGCTGGTGCATGAACACTGCAGAGGATGAGCCTGATCTCTCTTATGCTCCCTCCCACAGAGTAGCCCCCACTGACAAATAATATTTTCCCAAGAGCTGGGGCAAACTGATTACCAGAGGGCTTGCTCTCCAGGGTCCTGAACTCTAAACTTCCCTGGGTTGGATGGACAAGTACCTCCTTGAAAAGCTAATTGAGATAACCAGACTTCTGAACAGATAGGGAGGGGCCCAGAGAACCAAGCTCTGAACAATTCTGACCCTCTACCAATGAGTAACAATCAGGATGCTATAACCTTAAAGAACAGTCAGTAGACATAAACAGTCCAGAAAATAAAATCACAGGGGCTGGTCCCGTGGTTGAGTGGTTAAGTTTGCGCACTCCGCTTTGGCGGCCCAGGGTTTCACCAGTTCAGATCCTGGATGCGGACATGGAACCGCTCACTGGGCCACATTGAGGTGGCGTCCCACATACCACAGCTAGAAGGACCCACAACAAAAATATGCAACTATGTACCTGGGGGATTTGGGGAGAAAAAGCAGAAAAAAAAAGATTGGCAACAGTTGTTAGCACAGGTGCCAATCTTTAAAAAATAAATAAGTAAAAAATAAAATCACAGAGTAAAAACCTATTTTTTTAAATGAAGGCACAGGCTGGGTCAACCATTTTGTGAGCTGATCACAGAAAAAGAGCTTTGAATTTATTTATGATAAATTTTAGTAAAATTGGAAGGAAGGAATGCAGGGCATTAGGTGTTCAGTCAAGGAAAGTTACAAGCCACAGAAACCAACTCTGGCTAATTTAAGCAGAAAGGGAATGTATTAAAGGGTATTGGGTAGCCTTGGGATGGGGCTAGGAGAGGCAGAGGAACAGGCTTAAATTTTCCACAGTTGGGAACAACATTCAAAATTACACTTGAGATTCAATCTGATTTCTGTCTCTATAGTTTTGCTTTTTCTAGAATGTCTTATAAATGGAAGCATACTAGAGGGTAGCCTTTTTTGTCTGGCTTCTTTCACTTAGCCTAATGAATTTAAGTCATTCCTATTTTTGCATGTACCGGTAGTCTTTCCCTTATTTATCCATTCACCGTTTGGGGAACATTTGGGCTGTTACCAGTTTGGAGCTGTTACGAATAAAGCTACTAAAATTTTCATTTCTCTTCGGTAAATTCCTAGGAATGGGATTACTGGGTCATATGGTAAGTGTATGCTACCAAACTTTCCCAAAGTGGCCATGCCATATTGTATTCCCACCAACAATGAGAGTTTCAGTTGTTCCATATCTTTTCTAGGACTTTATAATAACAGTTCTTTGTCTTTGTTTTTTAGTTTAGCCACTACAATGGGCGTGTAGTGATATCTCATTATGTTATTAATTTCCATTTCCCTGATTATTAATGATATTGAACATCTTTTCATGTGATCATTTGCCATCTTCATCTCTTCTTTGGTGAAGTGTCTATTCAAATCTTTTTCCTATTTTTAAATTATGTTATTTATCTTATTATTAGTTGTAAGAGTTCTTTGTATATTCTAGAGACAGGGACTTTATCAAATTTCTTCTTCCAGGTGGAAGCTTGTCTTTTCATTTTCCTAACAATGGCTTTGAAGAGAAGTTTAAAAATACTTTAATATATATGTGGTCCAATTTACCAGTTTTATCATTAGTGCTTATGTCCCTTTATGAAATGTTTGCCTAACCCAAGATAACCCCCTTTTTCCTATTTTTCTAACAATATCTTAAATTTTATTGTCTGCATTTACATGCTTTATCATTAGCATTTGCCTTTTCCCATTTCTTAGTAGGAGAAACCTCTGGAACTTATTAAGTAGACAGTGGCAGAAAAATAATTTCAAAAGTCTTTAGATCACTACAAAATTAATAAGCAATAATATTTTACTCTGCAACTACAAGCTATTTTTTTCTATTTTTAAAAGAAGTTTTTTATAATTTTAGGTTTTACATTTGGAGCTATGAACCATTTTGAATTCATGTTTTGTATATGGTGTGAGGTAAAGATACTTTTTTGTATATGGATGTCTCCTATAGATCGAAAGTTTGCATAATCCCAAAATTCAAGTGTTAAATCCTAATGCCCAATGTGATGTTATTTGGAGGCGGCACCTTTGGGAGGTGATTAGGCCATGCGGGTGGAGCCCTCATGAGTGGGATTAGTTCCATTTTAAAAGAGAGCTCCCTTACCCCTTCTGACGTATGAAAACATCTGTTTATGAACCAGGAATCAAACCCTCACTAGAGACCAAATCTGCCAGCGCCTTAATCTTGGACTTCCCAGCCTCCAGAACTGTGAGAAATAAATGTTGTTTAAGCCACCCAGTCGGTGGTATTTTTGTTAGAGCAGCCTGAACTAAGACAACATCCAATTATTCCAGTAGCGTTTGTCGTCTTTCTCCATTGAATTACTTTGGGACTTTTTTAAAAAATGAATTGACCATATACAAGTGGGCTTCTTTCTGGACTGTTTTATTCCCTTGATCTCTATGTCTATCTTTACGCCAATACTACACAATCTTGATTACTGCAGCTTTATAGTTAGTCTTGAAATCAGGCAGTGAGTCCTCCAACTTTGTTTTTCATTTTCAAAATATTTTGGCTATGCTATGTCCTTTGCTTTTCCATATAACTTTTAGAATCTCAGTTTGCTGGGATTTTTATTGGGATAGCATTGCATTTATAGGTCAATTTTTGAGAGAATCACCATATTAACACTATTGAGTCTCTAATCCATGAACAGTGTATCTCTCTAAACTCAGGACCCCTGATTCAACCATAATTTAAGTATATGTGTCAAGTACAGTGTAAAGGATATGAGGATGAATAAAAAAGATTTTGTTTTGAGAAAGGAGCGTACTGGTAGATTAAATAAAAATGTCTAACCTTAAGAGTTCTTAATAGTTTTAAGAGCACTATTACCTTTTGCAGTTGGAACTGGTTTGGAATGGGAAGGGATATTTTCAGCTTGAAACTTAGTTGTGTAACCCTCTGTGATTATTTGTGGACAAGTCCCTTGATTTTGTGTAGCAAGCCAGCCAGGAGACTTTTTAGAGAGAAAACTCACACTAAGAATGGTATGTTAGTTTAGATATGGTTTCCCTGGGGTACTGTGGTGTGGTGTTCAGTTCAAATCACTATCCATTGTCTGGTCCATAGATTAGTCTCAGGACACAGCCCCCAGTGGACTCAAAATATCAGAGCCCTATGAAGAAAAAAGAAACTATAAGCAAATATAAAGTGAACTAAAAGTATTGATGACTACATTGCTAAGAACTGCGTTATACAGTGAGGCCCAAGCAGCCCTGGGACAGTACCACTTGGGTAGGTACAACTCTGAAATTGAGAGAAGGGCTTTATCCACACTCATATAGGAGTCAAATAGAGGCTTTGGCCCTTTAGGGACTATGAAGAATCAGAAGGGCTCTGTCACCAAGAGGACCCATCACACCAATAGCTGTCAGCATAGGGTACAGGGCACAGCAGAACAGGAGTGCCCAGAAGATACAGTAGTATCCAGAGAAGGGTGGCACCCTCTTCTCAGCTGCTTGGACTTGTTCCTGGGAACAGGTAAGTTCTAACTTCAACCCTTCCCTGAGTGTCTGACAGGGTCCAAGGACTGACTGCTACATAGGAGCCAGCCCTACACGGTTTACATACTCAGTACCTCATCTGATCCACTCAGCAGTCGCGAGGTAAGTTTTATCTCCGTTTCACAGGTGACAACACTGACCCTTATAGCAGTGGGTCTGTTATAACTGCCAGGTTGCTTCCTCTAGCTATGAGTCCAAGAGATAATGCGAGTTTTACTTAGCATTTTACATTTTGACAACAGGAATTTTAAGTGTCTTCATTGCCCTCATAAGCTCACTGAACAGTTTAATCTCTTATGTATTGTTTTCTGGTTTTAGTTATTTTTTTATTATGACCTACATAATCCATATATCTTCCAGGGAAAAGTGGAGATGAGTGAGCAAAGAAAAAGAATCACACGTGGTGGGAGCCACAGGACAGTAGAAGACCCAGGAGAAGGGGTGGCAGTGCCCACTGACACGGTTAGAACGAGGGGAAGGCATGGGGATGCGCACTCGCAGAGGAATGGCATGGGGGCACCTAACCATCAGGTGATTGGACTCATTTTTGAGCACAGGCGAGACCTATTTTTGGCTACCATGCAGGAAAAACCATTGCCTACTTTTTAGTGCACACACTCTCAGAGTTTTCTCTATGCACAAATGCATTATGCAAACATATTTATATTTTTACAAAAACGGGCTGATGCTGTGTATGCGGTTCTGAAAACTGTTTTTTCTTTATTGTTATTTTACAATATACCACAAACATCTCTTCCATGCACATGGGTGAAAATCCCCCACTGACAGACAGAGCACTGTAGTTGGATCAAAAGGCTGCTGGTAACAAGAGTGACACCTAAAGCAAAGTATCAGCTTAAGGTTAAAGCACATAGCCTGGCAAATGCCTGCCAGGGAAAGCAGGGTTGGAAATATTCCCATCAGAGAAATCAGAATCAAGGCCACAGGCATTAAAGATAGGGGATATCATGTAAACCCCTTTGGCCCCGACCTCCGCCCCTCACTCCCCTGACACCACGTTGGCCCCTTGGGGCGAATGGATCCTGTACATCTCTTTGTATCCAATGAAAACCACCCATTTTCTGCTTTTTCCTTAGCTCTTCCTGAGCCCTTGACATATCTCCACATTCTCTCATCATCTCCTCACTGCCCAAATGCCTTTCCTGTAGGTCCTCCTGATAGTCCTTGGGGGAGTCGTCCGTCCCCCTGTCGGTTTTCCTTTTTGCTTTCCGGGGCACATAATCTTCAGCCGGGCGCTTTTCGGCAGCCCGCCGCTCGCTCTCTGGCTTTGCCTGGGATTCTCGCTTGCCCTCGCCGCCCTGTGGTTTTCCCTCATCTTCGGACTGGCCCTGCTTGTCCTGCTTTCCCTTATCTTCTGGTTGCGCCTCATCATCTGGCTGTCCCTCATTCTGGGGCTTTTCCTTGTGCCCTGGCTGCCCCTCTACTTCTGGTTTTCCTTCCTCATCTGACTTTTCTTCATCTTCAGGCTCTACTTCATCTTGTGTCTTTCCTTCACTTTCCAGCTTTCCTTCATTTTCATTGCAGAGTTTTTCCATGTTGAGATTTCCTCTCCTTTTCCTGTCCTGGGGGTGAGGGGAATAGGAGACAAGGGAGACTGAGGGCTTGGGGGCGGAATGCAGGTCTGGATACTACTTGCATCTCGTCCCCTGTCAGGGTTCCCCTGACCAGCCTCGGCCTCCAAGTGTGCCTCCTGCCCACCCCTTTACCCCCATCACTCCTCCCACACACCAGAGCCAACCCTTTCCCTGGCAGGCCCTACCACCTTCTGTACCATCCTTCAGTGTGGCGGCGTGCCTGTCTATTATGTATGTGGTGGTGGGATGCGAGTGGGGCCCTCAAATTCTGCCCAGGCCATGCCCTCCACCCACCTCCCCGGAGTCCCCATCCGGGGCCCCTCCCCCCTTTTACTGACCTGCAGAGATTCTGGACAGGTTCCTCCTTTTCTAGCCTAGCAGAGTGCTGGGAACAGAGACGAAGACCTGCAGACAGACAGCAGACAGGGGCAGGGGCTGCACGCTCAAGGGACTGAGGTTTCTTTTCTGAATTTGAGCCCTCGTCATCCAACGTTTCCCTCTCCTATTTCCCCTGCATCCCAGCCGCCATTACCTTTCAGGCCTCGGGCACCAGACCAGGATGCTTTCCAAACTGTTTGGGTCTCTGTGACCCCCTCCCCAACAGGCAACCCGCCCCCAACCCAAACGCTTTTCGCGGAGATCGCTATTTTCTCATAGGCGCAGAGTGTGAGGGGGGTTATTAGCAGAAAGTGTCTACGTTTCACTGTCGCACTGCGGGGGCGCCCCCTCCCCTCCCCATCGCAGGCTCGAAAATAGATGGAGGGCGCAGAGGAGGGGCGTCGAGGAGAAGGCGGCGGGGCCCGCTGCGGGGTCGTCCCTCCCTCCCCACTGCCCGCGCCCCGTCCCCCTCCTCATCCATCTCCTGGACCCCTTCGTCGGCCCCTCCCCGCTGCTCCCGGATCCTACTCCCACCCACCTCCACCTCTGCCCCGGGACGCCGGAAGCGCCCATCTCCACACTGACCTGCGGGCCCGGGACGGCCTGCGCCTCCTCGGGCTCGCTGAAGCCCGCTCGCCCCTCGCCCGCCACCCGGGCAGCTCGGGGAGCTGGTTCCGCGCGGGCGACGGGACCGCAGGGCGGCGAGCGGGTGCGCGGGCTGCTGCCCACGTCGGCGCCCGGCCGGTCACGTGAGCACCGCGTCACCGGGCTCGGCCCCCGCCCCGCCCCCCCACCCCATCCCCGAGGGACTGGCAGCTGCGGACCGTGGGGGTGGGGAGGGCGGGTGACCAAGAGGGAGTCACCGAGAGAGCAGGAGGCAGGCGACTTCCTTACCGCAGGTGCTTTACCTGGCGCATTTCAGGTCCTTGCACAGCATCTCTCTGAGATGCTCATGATCGCAGGGTGTGACAGCTGATCACACGAAGGGTACCCGACTTCGCCAAGAGCGCTCAGCAACAGAGCCTCACAGCCCATTTTCAAGACCAGCTCAGCCTAACTCCATGGCCTGGGTGATGGTGCCCTCTAGGAAGCTGCGCTGCCACCTATAGTGGTAGTGTTCCTTGGCCTCCTCTCTCCTGGGTGATCTCTGTTCATTTCCCTCCAAGCACAGATGATTTCCAAATTGCTTCTCCAGGCTGTCCCCTCCCCGGAGCCTAAGATTCATTTTTGCTTTCCCATCAGCAATATAGGAGAGTGCTTGTTTCCCTACACCCTTTCCAACCTGTGTGACATATTTTTAATTTTCACTAATATGATAGGTGAGAAGTAGTATCTCAATGGCATTTTATTTTGCGCTTCTCTATGTTTAATGACAATTTTAATATCATTATGAATTGTCTGCTCATATCTTTCCCATATTTTTCTTTCTTTTTTTAGGAAGATTGGCCCTGAGCCAACATCTGTTGCCAATCTTCCTTTTTTTTTTTTCTCCCCAAAGCTCCAGTACATAGTTGTATACCCTAGTTGTAGGTCATTCTAGTTCTTCTATGTGGGATGCCGCCACAGCATGGCTTGATGAGGGGTGGGTAGGTCCATGCCCAGGATTCGAATGAGGGAATCCCAGGCCGTGAAAGCAAGTGCAGGAAGATAACCACTCAGCCATGGGGTGGCCCCCATATATTTCTATTGGATTGTCAATCCTTCTCCCCTCATTTTTCAAGTGTTGTTTATACACTATATTAGGCCTTTATCTTTTATATATGTTGGAAATATATACTTCCAGTTTGTTAGTTGCTTTTTGACTTTATAGTGTTTCTGCCATGCATTAAAAAAAGTAGTAAAATTTATCAAACTTTTCTTTTATTGCATCTAGATTTTGGTTCATGGTTAAGAACTCTTTTCCTACATGAAGGCAATGAGGAATTCACCCATGTTTTCTTATAGTACTCATATGGTTAACTATACTTGCCTTGAGGGCATCTGTGGTTAAGGAATAAACCAGTGCCAAACTGAGTTGAAACTATGGCAGATTCAATGTACTAGAGTAATAAAAACGAAAGCCCAAGACTCATTAAAAGGGGAGAGGATTCCTAACACATCACTCATACACCTCAAATGTTTCACTTTAAGGGTAATTTTAAACTGGAAATAAACTAGCCCCCACAAAGTCTTTTAGCTTGACTTTGCAATATATAGGTAGACTGGTAAACTTTGAGCTTTGAACATAGATTATGGTGGTTCCAGACAGGAAGCACTCTTATGGGCCTGACCAATGCAAACAAAATCTCTGGAGTAAGATTCCATCATCCTAAGCCTCAAATTATCTCAACAAACAATTGTTGAAGTAAAATGCCCACAAAGAAAGATAAGCAAGAACACAAAGAAAGTAAGAAGCAGTAGAGACAACAGGCAACACAAACAGATCCATTAGCTTCGAATTATTTGAATTATCAGATACAGACTATTAGACCACAATGCTTAGTGTATTCAGATAAATAGAATACAATTTTGAAAATTTCACAGAGAACTAAAAACCAGAAAAAGTAAAAAATAAACAAATGGAAATTCTAAAACTAAAAATTAACTTAGCTGAAATTAGAAACTAAATGTATGGCTTTAACAGCAGATAGACGCAGCTCAAGAGAGAATTAAAGAATTAGAAATTATGTTCAGAAGAAAATATCCATAAGGCTGCACAGTAGTCAAAAACATGGAAAATACAGAAGGGAGGGTATCATAAGATCTAACAGGGATTTACTGGTAATTCGAGAAGTAAAAGAGAACTGGAATGGTTTAGAGGCAATCTTTGAAGATATAATGGCTGAGAATTTTTTCAGAACTGATGAAAGACATTGATCCATAGAGCCAAGAAGTCCAACAAATTCCAAACAGGATAAATAAAAACTCACACATAGGGGGCTGGCCCAGTGGTGCAGCAGTTAAGTTCGCATGTTCCACTTCAGCGGCCTGAGGTTTGCCAGTTTGGATCCTGGGTGCTGACATGGCACTGACTGGCAAGCCATGCTGTGCTAAGTGTCCCACATATAAAGTGGAGGAAGATGGGCACAGATGTTAGCTCAGGGCCAGTCTTCCTCCAAAAAAAAAAAAAAAAACTCATACATAGATGCATAATAGTGAACTTTCAAAGAAACAAAGATAAAGAGAAAATCACAAAAGTCGCCATAAAAAAAACAGAGTATGCCTTGAAAGGAACAAATGTTAGGTTGATTTGTTGCTGGATTCTCAACAGCAACAATGGAAGCATGAAGATGGTGGGATGATATCTTTAGTGTCTTGAAATAAAATAATATCAAGAAATGATAACCAGCAAAAATACCCTTCAAAAATGAGGTGAAATAAAGACCTTTACAAATAAACAAAAACAAACAGAGTTTGCCAGCAGCAGGCAGGAACAAAAGGAAATACTAAATGCTACAAGGCATTCCCCAGATAACAGGAAAATGATTCCAGATGAAAGACAAGATGAAGGATGGAATAAACAGTGATTAAAAGGATAACTATCTATTTAAATATAGGGGCCGGCCCCATGGCAGAGTGGCTAAGTTCACACCCTCCGCTTCGGCAGCCCAGGGTTTCACCTGTTTGGATCCTGGGCATGGCCATGGCACCAGTCATCAAACCATGCTGAGGTGGCATCCCTCATGCCACAACTAGAAGGACTCACAACTAAAATTATGCAACTATGTACCGGGGAGTTTTGGGAGAAAAAGGAAAAATACAATAAAATCTTTAAATTTAAATCAATGCTACATAAAACAATAATATTTTGTTAATTCATATTGATCAATAACATATGAGTCAAGAGAGCTGGAGTAAAAGTATTTGAAATTCTGGCATTATCTGGGGAGTGTCTAAAAGCATAAATTAATATTAGCCTTTGATAAGGCAAGACTGTGTGCTATAATTGCCAGATAACCATTAAGGAAAAGTAAAAGAGTGTAAAACTCCTAAGCTAATAAAAGTGAAAAATAAGAAAATAATCAATAAAGAAGAGAAAACTAACATAGATCAGATAGGACATGGAGAAGGAATTTGGCACAATAGTTAACTTATATCTATTAATATAAGTAAGTATATTAAATATAAGTGGCTTACATGAAGAAATTAAAAGACAAAGATTTTCAGAGCGGAAAAAATCCAACTATATACTGTTGACAAAAGACATATCTGAAATATAAAGATACATAAACACTGAAAGTAAAAGTACAGAAAAAAGTATAACATAAAAACACTAATCAAAAGAAGCCCATTATAGTTAAATTAATAACAAAATAGACTTTAAAACAAGAAGCATTACAACACATAAGGCGTGTCACTTCATGATATTTTAAATTTGTATGCACTTACTAACTTGACCTCAAAATAAAAAAAAAAAATTTGACAGAACTACAAGGAGAAATAAAGAAATGAGTGTTGATGAATAAGCATTTCAGTGTTAACACTCCTATCTCTGTAACTATGGAAATATTTAAAGTGTTGAAAGAAAAAACCCACCAACCTAAAAGTCCATATTCAGCGAAATTATCCTTCAAAAGTGAAGGCAAAATAAATACTTTGTCTCAGACAAAAACTGATGAAATTCAGCACCAGCAAGCCTTCGCTTCAAGAAACGTTAAAAGATTTTCTCCAAGCAGAAGGAAAATGATATAGGTCAGCAACTCATATCTACATAAAGAGCACTGGAAATAGAATAAATGAAAGTAAAATGAAATCTTTATTTTTCTTATTCTTAATTGAATAAAAGATCTGTTTGTCTAAAGTAATAATAGTAACAATGTATTGAGTGATTATAGCATATGGATAAGTGAAGTGAATAACGAATACTCTGTAATAAGGTAACTGCGCTATATATAAGAAAGCAGAATAGTGTTATTTGAAAGTGATGTTGGTTAAAACTGCATATTGTAAACTCAAGAGAAATCACTAAAAATATTTTAGAAAGAAATGTAATTGATACGCCAAGAGAGAAGGCAAGTGGAATCACGGAAAATACTCAATTAAAAATAGAGAAGTCAGAAAAAGAAGCTTCCGACAACAAATAGAAAACAGTTATAAACATGGTCGATATTAATCCAAATATAAAAAGAATCATTTTAAATGTGAATGGTTTAAATACACCAATTAAAGATAGAAATTTTCAGAGTGGATTAAAAAAACCCAACTATATGTTGTGTATACAAAGCCCACTTTAAATATAAAGACTCTGAGAGGTTAATAGTAAAGCAATGGAGAAAGATATACCACACTACACCAATCGAAAGAAAGCTGGACAAAAAAGAAAGCTAGAGTAGCTGTATAATTTAGGACAAAGCTGACTGCAGAACAAGTAAAATTATCAGAGATAAAAAGGGGCACTACATAATGATAAAGAGATCAATTCTGAAAAAAAACGCACATAATCCTACACATGTATGTACCTAACAAAAGCGTCAAAATATATGACGCAAAAACAGATAAAACTGAAAGGAGAAACAAATCCATGATTAGGGTTGAAGACTTCAACACCTCCCAGTCAGTAATTGATAGATTAAGCAGGCAGGATATCAATAATGATTCAGTTGACCTGAACAGCACTATCAATCAAGTTGATCTAAGTGGCATTTATAGAACATTTCATCTAACATCAGAATGCATTTTTTTCAAGCTTACTCAGAACATCCACCACGAGAGTCCAGATTCTGGGCCATAATATACACCTTAACAAATTTAAAGGAATAGAAATCATAAAAGTCTGCTCTCAATGGAATTAAACTAGAAATAAATAAGAGAAAGATAGATGGAAAACCAAAATATTTGGGAATTAAAGAACACATTTCTAAATAACACGAGTCAAAGAAGAATTCTCGAAAGAAATGTAAAAATAACTTGCAACATATCAAAATTTTTGAGATGTAGCAAAAGCAGTGCTTAGAAGGAAATTTCTAGCTTAAATGCATATAAGAGAAAAGAAGAAAGATCTAACATAAATAACCTAAGCTTTCTCCTTAAGAAACTAAAGAAAAAAGTATAATTTAAGCCTAGAGCAAGCAGAAGGAAAGAAATAATTAGAGAAGAAATCAATGAAAGTGAAAACAGGAAAACAGTAGAGAAAAATCAATGAAACCAAAAGCTGGTTCTTCGAAAAGATAAATAAAATTGATACATCTCTTCCCAGGGTGACCAAGAAAAAAAGAAAGAAGACTCACATCAACAATATCAGAAATGAAAGTGGGGTTATCACTACTGAGCCCAGGGACATTAAGATAATAAAGGAAAACTATAAAAACCTCTATGCCTACAAATGTGGTAACTTAGACGAAATGGACTGATTCCTGAAAAAATAAAACTACTAAAACTCACACAAGGAGAAAAAGATAACCTGAATAACCCTGTATCTATTAAAGACATTGAATCAATAATCAATAACCTTCCAAAGATAAAAATCACCAGGGCCAAATAGTACCAAACATTTAAGGATAACCAGTGAACATTTAGGAATCAACAGTGAATTCTACCAAACATTTAAGGAAAAAATAATACCAGTTCTCTGTAAACTTTTCCAAAAAATAGAAATAGAACACTTGACTCATTCTGTGAGGCTAGTATTAGTCTAAATCCAAAACCAGATAAAAGACGTTACAAGAAAGGAAAACTACAGACCAACATCTCTCATGAACACAGACACAACATCCTGAACAAAACATTAGAAAATTTAATCCAGTGTATAAAAAATTGTGCACCTAATAAGTGGGATTTATTCTAGATATGCGAGGCTGATTCAACACTTGAAAATCAATCAATATAATCCACATGAACAGACTAAAGAAGAAAAATCATATGATCTTATCACTTGATGCAGAAAAAACATTTGACAGAATCCAACACCCATTCATAAAAGTTCTCAAACTAAGATTAGAGGAGAACTCCTCAATTTGATAAAGACTATCTATAAAAAACCCATGACTAACATCATACTTAATGGTGAGAGAAAGCGGACACTTCACGTTAAGATCAGGAACAAGGCAAGGATATCCATTCTCATTGCTCCTGTTAAACATCATACTGGAAGCCCTAGCGAGTGCAATTAAGACAAAAAAAGGAAATAAAACAGATACAGATTGAAATGCAGGAAATAAAACTGTCTTCATTTGCAGATGACATGATTGTCTATGTAGAAAATGCCAAAGCATTAACAAACTCTTGGTCACAAGGTCATAAGATGTAAGGTCAATACACAAAAGTCAATTGCTTTCCTATATACCAGCAATGAACAATTGGAATTTGAAATTTAAAAATACCATTTATAACAGCAGCCCCAAAATGCAGAAGGTGACTAAAGAATCTGAGTGTATTACAAATATATGAAATAACCTCACTGAAAAAGACAGGACAATAAGGTGCTGACATAGGTAACTTTGGAAATGAGTGGAGTCTGTAAGACTAAAGATAAAATTTACCTCTGTGGTCCTCTTCCCAAAAACACTCAACAGATCGAAACTGTGAGACATTATACACAATATCTGACCAGTACTTCTCAAAAGTGTCAAGGGCGTCAAAAACAGGGAAGGTCAGAAAACGTCACAGCCAAGAGGAGCCTAGGGAGACATGACGACTAAATGTAAGGTGGTAACCTGGGTGAGTTCCTGGAAGAGAAAAAGGACATTAAGGAAAAACTGAGGAAATCTGAACAAAGTATGTGATTTGGTAAATAATAATGTATCAATATTGCTTCACTGTGACAAATGCACCACACTAATGTAAGATGTTAATAATAGGGAATACTGGGTTTGGGGTATACAGAAACTCTGTTCTATCTATGCAATAATTCCGTGAATCTACAACTGTCCTAAAATAAAAGTTTATTTTAAAAAAACAGTATAAGCAAATAAAAGGCTAATAAAAAGCCAGGAAAAACATCACATAGGTAGATGGGTCTGTTGAGATGGCAAGGCAGGGCTTAACAGGAGTTTCCTGGGAGAAAACTCCTTCTAAGAAAAAGGTCTCAGCAGACAAGAGATTAACAGGTGAGAATAGCATAGCATCTGGTCACTCAGATTTTTCTCCTGGCTCAATCTCCAGTATCTAAATCCAGAGGAGACGGCTGTAGGCAAAAACACACACAAACCAACCGAAAACTTAGAAAGGGATGTTTCATAAAAATTTTATGAAATATCAAGGCCTAAGTGACAATTGTGTACTACCCACCTGACTTAGAGTAACTCTGATTTGGGTAGAGAAGAATTCTTGACCCTTCTGATGAGACAGTGTTGCCTTAGTCCATCGTGGTCTCCAGCCCACCGGCAGCAGTGGCGCCCTCAGGAGGGTGCAGAGCCCATGAGAAGAGGCACAGTGCCCATCAGTCATGGTATTACCCAGGGGAGAGTGACACCCACCTTTCTTCCTGGACACAGGTGAGAGCTCCCTCAGCTCTCCCCCAAACATCTGATGGAGTTCTGGTCCTGCAAGTGCAGGGGAGAGGGCAGGAGCCAGCCCAACACAGTTCACACACTCAGGACCTCATCTGATCTTCTCCACAGCCTTGCAAGGCAAGTTTTATCCCCATTTCACAGATGACAAGACTGTTCCTTAGAGAAATGGATCTGTAATAACTGCCAGGTTCATACTTCCAGCTTCGAGCCCCAGAGATAATGTGAGTTTTATGCATCATTTTACATCCTGACACCAAGAACTTTGTGTCTCCACTGCCTTCATAAACTCACTGAACAGTTATTTTGATTGCTTGGTATATATGGTTTTCCTATTTTTTGTCTTTCATTGTTTTTATGACAAAAGTAATCTGTGTTTTTAGGAGAAAACATATGTCGAACAAAAAAGGAACAGGAAAAAAAATCACCCACAGATAACCACTGTTCATCTTTTAGTGGACACAGCTTTTAGAGTTTTTTTCTGTACATAGATCACTAGGTAAATATCTTTGCAGATTTAGAAAAATGAACTGATGCTGTATATATGGTGCTGCAAACTGTTTTCTTTTTAATTTTATAATGCACTATAAACATTTTTCCATGCAACGGATGAAAATCTGCTACTGAAACACAGAGGGCTGCGGTTGGATAACAAGAATGACACCTAAAGTAAAGTATTAGCCTAAGGTTAAAGCACAGGGCCTGGCCCATGGAGGCCAGGGCACTACACAAAAGGAATGTCTTCAAAGCCCCTTTGTGGCGCCCTGCAACCACCCCTGAGTTCCCTTGGGCCCCTCGGGTGGAAGGGGTCCTGTAAGCTTTTTTGCATCCACATAAACCCCCCCAATTTCTGTCTGGTTTTCTTCACCTCATCCTCCACCCTAGCCATCTCATCAAATTCTCTTATCATCTCCTCATTGCTCAAATGCATATCGTGTATGGCCTCCTTATATTCCTTGAGGCACTGAGCCAGCCCCTTGTTGGTTTTTCTCTTGGCTTTCCTGGGTACATCATCCCCAGCTGGGCGCTTTCCTGCAGCCTTTGGTTCGCTGGCTGGCTTTTCTTCTTCTTTTGGCTTTCCCTGGCTCTCTGGATTTCCCTGGGTCTCTGGTTTTCCTTCTTCTTTTGGCTTTCCCTGGCTCACTGGCTTTCCCTGGTTTTCTGGCTTTCCATGGCTCTCTGCTTTTTCTCCTTCTTCTGGCTTTGCCTCACTCTCTGGCTTCTCCTTATCATTTAGTACTTCCTCATCTTCTGTCTTTCCCTCGTGATCTGTCTTTCCCTCGTTTTCTAACTTCTCCTTGTCTTCCAGACTACAAGCTACTTCCGGCTTTCCCATATCGAGTGGCTGTTCTTTGTTTTCCATCTTTCCTTGGTTCTCAGGCATTTCTTCATTTTCAGTGCAGAGTTTTTCCATGTTGAGATTTCCCCTCCTTACCCTGTCCTGGGGTTAGGGGAAAGAGGACACAAAGAGGAGACAAGGGAGACTGAGGGCTTGGAAGTGGAATGCAGGTCCGGATAGTACTTGCATTTCGCCCCTTTTCAGGGTTCCCCTGACCTGGTCCGACCCCTAATTGCGCCTTCTGCCCACCTTTTTACCCCATCACTCCTCCCAACCGTTTTCCTGGCAGGCCCTACCATTTTCTCCATGTTTGCTCAGTGTGGCATAGTGGGTGTGTAAGTGTGTTGGGAGGTAGGCAGTGGGGCCCCAAATTCTGCCCAGCCCATGCCCTCCACACTCCCCACTGCTCTGAGTCCCTGTCCAGCAACAGCCCTCCTTCACTGACCTGCGGGAATTCTGGACAGGTTTCTCCTCCTTTTCTAGTCTAGCAGAGTGCTGACAACAGCAGACACGCAGACCTGCAGACAGACAGCAGACAGGGGCTGGGCGTTCGGTGGATGCCCAGGGACTCGGGTACCTTTCCTGAATCCCGGCCCTCCACACCCAAGGGTTCCCTCCCCAACCTCCTCCACCCCCCGCACCCCAGCCGCCATTTATTTTCACGCCTCGAGCGCCACACCAGGATGTTTTCCAAACTAATTTTGGATCTCTGCGTCCTTCTCTCCGGGAGGCAACTCGCCTCCCCACCCTCGAGGTCAACTTTTTTCTCTACATACGTTGTGGTAAAAGGGGGTTTATTTCCACTGTCTCACTGCTGGGGCGCCCCCAGCTCACCATCCCCGGCTCTAAAATGGACGGAAGTCAGAGAGGACGAGGTGCGGAAAAAAGGGGCACGGGGACTTGGGGTGTCCGCCTTCCCCACCCTCCGCCCATTGGCCGCTTGCCCCCCTTAGCCATTTTCCCACCGCCATCTCTATCTGCACTCGGGCCAGCTTCCTTCGACCCGGACCCCATCCCCAACCTTTTTCCCTCCCATGCTCGGTCCTCCTCCCCATTCTGGTGGTCCGCAGGCAGCGACGAAGGTCCTTACACTGACCTGAAAGAACCTGGAGCAACAATTAAGAGCTCGCAGACAGCTCCGGGTCGGACCGCGGGGAGGCAGGGCGGACACCCGGACTGGTGCCCACATCTGCGCCCAGGCGGTCACGTGAACTTCGCGTCACCCCAGCTCGCCCCCACGCCCCGCCCACTAGCGGCGTCGGCCTGCCACCCCCTGCTTCTTCAGGGCAGGTCCCCCTCACTTCTCGGGGCCCTTTTGTCCTTTTCCTCTTCTTGAGAAGCTGGTCAAAGAAAGAATTTTAGTAAAAAACACAGAGGCTTTTTTTTTTAATAGGTTGGGCGGTCCGGGGGAGGAGTCTTGACGATGTTGCTCATAAATGCCACTGACAGAACGTAGACCCACCCAATGAAATCGTATGAATGTGAACTTTAATACTGTACAAAGAGTAGAATGTCGCACTTTAGAAAGGATTAGGAAAACTGTTCCCCTCAAAATGAAATTGTCCCTTGCTTCAGACATGCACAAACATAAATTTTCTAATGAATTAAACATTTATATCTAAAAATGAAATTTTATTTGAAACAGAATAAAAGAACGATTTTTTTAAAGGGAGAGACTGAATATACAACGGACAATGACCAGCCCATATATGACAATAGAACTGTAACCCACGACCTCTGCAGCGAGCAGCCCAGGAAGCCAGACCACAGCCTCTGCAGCAATCTTCAGGACTTGATCAGAGACTGCCAGCCTCCCAATTTTTGCCCCACTGCCAACTAGAGCAAGCTCCCCAAACCAATCACATAAAATGCCCTGCTTCTACTTAGCCTGCCTCCAGCTTCCCCAGGCTAACAACCTCCATTCAGAGAATACCTGAAGTCTCCCCTTTTTTCACTCTAAAGCTTTCTCATTCCCCTGCCTGCCTTTAAGTCTCTGCCAAAACACAAGTGATGGTGGCTGTCTCCCTTGTTATAACAAGCTCTGAATAAGTAGCCTCGGTTTCCATGTGAAGGAAGGCCTTTAAAAATATAATAACAAAGAGACGAACAATGAAGGAAAATGTTGATAGATTTGATTACATGAAAATGTGTATCAGATTTATTGAGAGACTGCGGACACATGGCACTCTTCCCTGCTCTTGTTGAGTGTATTGGTAAAAATTTTCTGAAGGGCAACTTTGTAAATTGTTTAAAAATAAAAATATTTGACATTTTGGCTCAGCAGTTCCACTTCTAATATTTACCCACAGAGATAATAAAGTGTTAAAATTGAATCTTCTGTTTTAAAACGTTTTATATTTAAAAAGTTCCCATAACAATTGTTTATTATGCATTTATTCTTTGCTGGAACTGGGGCTACAGCAGTGATTCTGTAGGCTTTGATTAAAATGGAAAAAAAATGGGCCATCACAGTTGTCCATCTGTGTCCATCAGTACAGATTTGGTTACATGACGTCTTAGTACATTTGTTTTCCTTGGTTATCTTTGGATGTTTGGTTTGGAAAAGTAATTAATTCTTTTATGATGGGTGCTCACTGCACAGTAAAAATAATTGTTAACTATGAATAATCCCAAACTGCTATGGGTGGTGGGACAGAAAGGATAACCACAGGATGTAGTTTTGCCCTCTAGAAAATGCTACCTATGTGCCAGGCACTATGCTAGTTACCTTATCTTGTTTGGTGTGGATTTCATTTATACCTGGTGGAGGAACTCATACTTCAAAGAAGCAGAATGATTTAGAAAGCTACAGTCTTAACTCAGTGTAGTACTGGAATAAGCACAGTAAGTGGAATAAAACAGAGAAAGCCCACTAACATCCCCAAATATAAGTTTTTAGTATGTGATAAGGAAGCACTTCTGAATCAGTAGTAAAAAAAAAAAATAGGTTATTACGGAAATTATATTTGTATAATTAGTTCAATAGTTAAAGGAAAACGAAGAGCCCTATTTTATGACATACACTCAAATTCTTTTCAGATTAGGCAAGAAAAATGAAATAAAAGGCATCCAGGTTGGAAGGATAGAAGTAAAACTCTCTCTATTTGCAGATGACATGATATTGTATATAGAAAATCCTAAGGAATCCACTAAAGAACTATGAGAACTAACAAGTTCAGCAATGCGAAAGAATACAAGATCAATATACAAAAATCAATTGTTATTTCTATATGCTAGCAATGAAAAATTCGAAGAGAAAACATTTTTGTCAAAAATAGCATCAAAAAGAATAAAACACTTAGAAATAAATTTACTTAAAAAGTCCAAGACTTGTACACTGAAACTAAAAAATATTGTTGAAAGAAATCCTCAATAAATTGAAAGACATCTTATGTTCATAGATTGGAAGACTTACTATTGTTAAGATGGGCAATATTTCCCAGATTCATCTACGTACTCAACACAATCTCTATCAAAATCTCAGCTGGCTTCTTTGCAAAAATTGACAAGCTGATCCCAAAATTCATGCAGAAATGCAAGGGATTCAGAACAGACAAAACAATCATGAAAAAGAAGGACAAAATTGGAAGCCTCACACTTGCGGATTTCAGAAGTTACTATAAAGCTAAAGGAATCAGGACAGGACATATAGACCAATGGAATAGAATTGAGAATCCAGACGTAAACCCTCACATTTACGGTCAATTGATTTTTAGACAGCGTGCCAAGAAAATTCAATGTGAAAGAACAGTCTTTTCAACAAATGATGCTGAGACAACTAAATATCCACATGCAAAAAAATGAATTTGGACCCTCACCTCACACCATATACAAAACTTAACTCAAAATAAATCAGTCCTAAATGTAAGAACTAAAATTATTAAACTCTTAGAAAAAAATGTAGGTGTAATTCTTCATGACCTTGGGTTAGGCAATGGTTTCTTAGATATGACACCAAAAGTTCAAGCAACAAAAGAAATATAGATAAATGGGACTTTATCAAAATCTAAAACTTTTGTGATTTAAGAACACCATTAAGAAAGTGAAAAGACAATCCACAGAATGGGAGAAAATTTCTGGAGGTAATATATTTGATAAGGGACTTATATCTAGAATATATAAAGAACTCCTACAACTCAATATAAAAACAAAGAATCTGATTTAAAAATGGGCAAAGGATCTGAATAGGTATTTCTGCAAACAAAATATACAAATGGCCAATAAGCATGATGGTCAACATCATTAGCCATCAAGGAAATGCAAGTCAAAACCACAATGAGATACCACTTCATACCCACTGGGATGGATATAATCAAAAAGTCAGGTCAGCCCTGGTTGCCTAGTGGTTAAGTTTGGTGTGCTCCACTTCAGTGGCCCAGGTTCAGTTCCTGGGCACAGATCTACACTATTCTTCTGTCAGTGGCCATGCTGTCACAGCAGCTCACATACAAAAAGAGGAAGATTGGCAACAGACGTTAGCTCAGGGTGAATCTTTGTCAGCAAAAAAAAAAAAAAAAAAAAAGGATCGATAATAACAGGTATTGTCAAATATGTAGAGAAATTGGAACCATCACACAGTGATGATGGGAATGTCAAATGGTGCAGCTACTGTGGAAAACAGCCTGTCTGGCAGTTTCTCAAAATGTTAAACGTTGAGTTACCATATAACTTGACAATTCCACTTCTAGGTAAACATTCAAGAGAAGTAAAAAACTATGTTCACACAAAAACTTACATGCAAATGTTCTTGGCAGCATTATTCATAATAATTAAAAAGTGGAAATATCCTAAATGTCCATCATCTGATGAATGGATAAATAAAATGTGGTATATACACACAATGGAATATTATTTGGCAATAAAAATGGAACAAAGTGCTGATACATGCTAAAACATGGATGAACCTTGAAAACATTGTACTAAGTGAAAGAAGTTATTCATAAAAAACCACATATGGTATGATTCCACCAATATGAAATATCTAAAATAGGCATATCCATAGAGAGAGAAAGCAGATTAGAAGTTGCCTAGAACTTGAGGGGAAGATGAGGTGAAATGGGTAGTGACTTTTAAGGAGTATAAGGTTTCTTTTTGGGGTGATAAAAATGTTCTAAGATTGATTGTGGTGATGGTGGCACAACTCTGTGAATAGCTAAAGACCACTGAAATATGCACTCTAAGTGGATGAATAATATGGTATAAGAATTATATATCAATAAAGCTATTTAAAAAAATCTCATAATTTTGTTGATTTCAAAGTGTTTTATTATATAGATTTTCTATACAACAGACTGAATTAAGATCATGTAAATTTTTCTCTATTAAAGATACTTTTGTATTTATATCTTGGTGTACTTGTCTGATCATTTTCTCTGAATTTATTCTAAGAAATTGAATTGACAAATCAAAAGTTATAAAAACTTTAAGGTTTCTTATTCACGTAGCTAAAAGTTACCTATGTTGTTAATTATAAGAATTTCAGAAAAACACAAACATGTATAATGCAGAAAGTAGATCTGTATGTTGTATATTATTAAATTTTTTGTTTATTTCATACATACAATTTACATATTTACTGGAATTATACCATATATACTGTTCTGCTACTTGATTCTTCCACTTAAAAGTATATCTTCAGGGGCCAGCCTCATGCCCGAGTGATTAAGTTCATGCGCTCCACTCTGGCAGCCTGGGGTTCACAGAGTCAGATCCTGGGTGCAGACCTACACACTGCTCATCAAGCCATGCTGTGGCAGCATCCCACATAGAAGAACTAGAATGACTTACAACTTGGTTATACAACTATGTACTGGGGCTTTGAGGAGAAAAAGGAAAATAAAATCTTTTTAAAAAATTTAAAAAATAAAAAATAAAAATTTTTCAAAATTATATCTTCAGCACATTCCCATGTAAGTATAGATAGAACTACCTTATACATTTTAATGGTTGCATATTATTTTACTCTTTAGATTTATCACAAATTATTTAATCAAACCTCCATGGGCTAACATTAGAAATGTTCTATACTTTCGCTATTAACAACATTGCTTCAACGCATATCTATATGCAGATTGCATCCCTTTGTTCACCTGGAGGACAGATTTAATTTCCAAAGATGATATATCCCAATCCACATGTGACCTTGCCACTGTTCTCATTGAGAAATGTGGACTATGTTTCCTCCCTTTGAATCTGAGAGGACTTCTTTTGATCAACTGA